AATCAGAGTCTCAGACATTGACACAACCCTTGCAGTGGGACCATGGGTCTGGGCCCAATGAAACTATGGCCATAGGTGACCACACAAGCCACTGATTTGGACATGGTCCTACTGCAGCTGGGTACTTTGTTGTTGTCCATGTCTCCTCAAATGCAACCGAAGCCCAGACATCTCCATGGGCCCTGGTGGCTGTGCCATCCATTCTTATCTGTGCGGTCCTCGTGGCAGTGTGACCCTCAGGTACCAACCTGGCCTCAGGTGTTAGCCCATGCACTGGGCATCTGCACAACCTCCAGTGGTAACAGTAGCCACTGACATTGATGCATCCTGGCTATAGTAGTGCATGACCCCCAGTATCAGCTGGGACCCAGTCAACACTACCATCACTGATGCCAGTACAGGGAACCCACATTGTCACAGCCTGGCCTTGGCATGGCCATTGGTCTTTGACATGCCCACAGGTGGTGACCCAGAACCCAGGTATTTGTATGGTCGTTGATAGTGACACAGGCCATGAACATCATCACAGACCTAGCTGCTGTAAGCCTATGGACTCAGACAGGCTTCTCAGAAGCAGCCAGGCCAGATGCTACTATGGCCTCAAAGGACACTGAAACGGGCACCACCCTAGCTTCAGGGTAGCCCTGGTGATGCAACATGGCCCGGGTAGGTTCCCAAATGCTGGACATCAACATGACTCTTGATTGTAATAGGTGCATGAACATCAACACAGTCCCTAGTTGCAATAGGGCCTCAGATCCAGACATGGCCCTTGGTAGCAGCCCATGGCCCTGGGAGGTAAACAGGCCTCCCACATTAGCCTGTTCTTCATAGCCTTTGACCGATCTCTTTCTATGAACCTCTCTCTGTCTCTCTCCCTCCCACAGCCCACCACATATTTGCTCACCCTAATGGTGTCTAACCATTTGATGACACAAGGCCCATGTCCTCTTCTCACCCACTCAGAGCAAACTACTCCAGGAAGGCATGTCCATCTCTGGCTGTTCTTGGCATCTTGCCAAGAAGGTGTGTGTGTAAAACACTCATTCTTAAATGTGGTATCTCTACCAAATTCCTCCCCTGAGAACTCAGGGAACTCTGGGAAGAGGATGAAGAAAGAGTATAAGAGCCATAGGGGGCAAGAGACACCGAAAAAACAAGGTCCTCTAAATTAGCATGATCAATGCACAAATGGACTCTCAGAGGTTGAGGCAGCATGCACTGGGCCTGCAGAGGTCTTCACTAGGTCTTTGTGTATATGTTATAGCTTCCAATTAAGTGTTTTTATTCCTGAGAGGGCTGGTGTGGGAGGGCCTACTGTATGTGTTGTTTTTATTGGTTAATGAATAAAGAAACTGCCTTGGCCTGTTGAGAGGGCAGAACTTAGGTAGGAAGGGGGAGGGACTAAATGGCATGCTGGGAGAAGGAAGGCAGAGAAAGAGAAGCCATGGATACTCTGTCAAAGGCAGACACCAGTTAAAATCTTTGCCCATAAGCTACTGTCACATGGTGATATACTTAATAGAAATGGGTTAAATTAATATAAAAGTTAGCCAGTAAGAACTATACCTTATGGACCAAGCAGTGTTTTAATTAATACAATTTCTGTGTGATTATTTTGGTTCTGAGCAGCCAGAAGGAACAAGCAGCCTTCCTCCTACAGGGTGCAAATGAGTGAGTCCCTGCTTTTTGTGCCTTCTCTGGAGATCTTTTCCTTCTGTTTCTTTTGTCCTATGCTGGTGTATTAGGTTTTTTAAATCTTATTATAATTTGTTTGGCTATTATGCCTTAGAAGCCTGTTTGTTTTCTAATGAGAGACAGAAAGGGAATGGATCCAGATGGAAGGGGAGAAGAGAAGAAACTGAGAGAAGTAGAAGGAGTTAGATCACAATAAAGGTAGACTATGGAAGAAAAACAATCTATTTTCAATAAAAAGGAAGTAAATCAAAGATAAATAATTTCTGTCTCATATCCATGCATTGCTAAGAGTATTGAACATATTACCTTGCCAATAATTCTAATTAGTATGCTCTAATTAACTCATTTTATCATTTTTGTTATAATTCAACCATAATTAAAACAGTTTGTTAAGTCTCCGTGGAGTATTGTTTCACATTTAAAACATTTTTTTTTCAAAAATTCAACTGTGATTAACTTTCGTAAGGAGCTCAAAGTTCATATTATTGAGAGATTCACAAGTTTCTCATTGATTTTATTTAGTTCCTAAACATATGGTAAATCTGCATTAGCCGTCTTAGTTTAGTCTCAAGTAAAATTTAACTTTTCTTCCTGAAATGGGAATTATGAATGTGAGGTCTAGGAGGAGTGTGTTACACCCTGCACACTGGTTCTTTAGGACATGTTTTTATGGGATGCCTAAATAGAAAATCTCCTGAGATGCCTAAATAAGTCATATAGTCTTTGTTTACCTTCAGTGGGGCTGTTCCAGGCAGAGTAGTGGGAAGTAGCTACCACCTCCAATTTGTACAAGTTTTTAAAGGCAAAACCCACAACTGTAATGTATACAGAAAGGCAGCTGTGGATAACTGCAGCTGATGAGGTATTATGGAAAAAGGTCACCAGCCATTCAGGCTGTACAAGAACATACAGCAAATAGCAAACTTTTTTTTTTGAGGTACCAGCAGCCCTACCTTTAAAATGGCTAACTGAGAAGCCAATATGGATCAAACAGTGGCCTCTAGCTGAAGATAAATTACAGGCATTGGAACAGCTGATACAAGAGCAACTAGATGCTCACCATATTGAAGAATCAACCAGCCCTTGGAATTCTCCTGTGTTTGTTGTAAAAAAGAAATCTGGTAAATGGAAAATGGTGACAGATCTAAGAGCTGTCAACAAGGTAATTCAACCTATGGGCCCACTACAATCTGGAATTCCTTTGCCTTTTCTATTACCAAAAGGATGTCCTCTTATAGTTATTGATTTGAAAGATTGTTTTTTCACTATATCTTTACAAGAAAAGGATAGAGAAAAATTTGCCTTCACTGTGCCTACTTATAATAATTCTCAGCCTAATAGGAGATATCAATGGACTGTCCTCCCATGCAGCAAGCAAGCCTTGTTTACAGAATCAGAGAAATAACAGCTCAGTGGTCAGTTCTCATAACCTTTAGGTCAAAGACACACTGTATAGGAATTTATGGCTGATTCTGAGGTCCTTTTACTCTAGGAATTGATGGTTAATCTAAGTGACCAGAGGCCTGTTTACTCAAGATAATTTAACAACTTAAAATATTAGAGATTTTCACAAGCAGGCATAATTATAGTTCAGTAGTCCACTAAACTGTAAATATTATCATTCTGTGGCCGTCCCTTGGAGTTCTTGGTCTGATTTTTCAGTTATGTCAGTGCTTTGAAGATTGATCCATGTGGGATGTGTCAATAACTTCTTTCTTTTAATGCCAAATAGTTGCTACTTACTATTTGGTTATTAGTATGATTACTGAATGCCAAATATGACAATCATTTCTTTCTTCTAAGTGCCAAATAGTATTCAATAGATACAATTTATCCATGCACTGAGTAATGATGTCTGGTCTGTTTCTGGGACCAAGAATTATGACATGCACCATAAGTGCTCAAATATCATCAGATTATAGACATCTACATTTGCCCCTGCTTGGATCTAAGTCATATGTTTGGCTTTTTAAGAAAATGCATTCCTCACCATCATCATTGTTTCTTAGAAATCTTGTTGCAGTGATCACATAAATGAGGCTCAGGTCAAAGCCTCGTGGTTTGGCTGTTTGTCAGCCCTTGGCTTTGCTGGAGTTTTGTTCTTGTTTGCATTCATTGAAGTCAGTCTGGTAGACGTGCCATGATATTCCAGTACACTGCTGATTTGTTTTCCCAATGTCGAATAATGGTTGCAAATAACTTTTCATGTGCTTATGTGATGTTCGTATCTCTCTGTGACAAAGAAAAGTAACCAGTGAAATGCTTAAATCTTTCATCTAATTAATAAAGATATTTCCCATTTATTGCATTTTCAGAATTACTTAATATTCCAGAAGTAAGCCTTTTATGATATATATGTTCATAAGAATTTTTTGGATCATCCTGTCGCTTATCTTTTTTTTCATTACAGGGTATTTTTTTTTTAAAATAGAAGTTTAAAACTTAATGATGTACCATGTTTCTTTTTTTTTTTTTCAAAAAAATAGATTAAGAAAGAAGAGGAAAGAGAAGCATTGCGTCATTCAGCTAGTATTCTTTTAACACAAATAACAAATTTTAAAAAATGGAGGGCTAAATTATGGAGAGGGTTAGTTTGTTAAATGTACTTAAATTGTCCATTTCTCAATGTGCAGGCAAATTTTAAATTCTTTAATAATAAACAGCGTAATTATTATTAAAGATGGGAGTCCTCCATAAATTTCAGCTGCTACCAATTGCTAAAAAATTCTTGAGGATTGGGTTACTTAATATAACACAGGACACCCAAATCCATTTAGCTTCAGTGCTTCCTAAAAGTTTTGATCTTTTGCTACATTCTAAGTTCTGAAATATTCTCTTTAAAAATGTTCATTGTTTATCTGAAGTTGAAAGTTAACTGAGTGTACTGTATTTTTATTTATTCAATTTTGTTGGGGTTATTAGTATTACTGAATGCCAAATTTATTAAACTTAGCCTCAAATAAACAGCATCGGACCATGGAAAGGAATTGGGTCAATTTGCATCCTAGCAAACAGTAGCTCAGCCTAGATTAACTGTGTGTAGAAAAGAATGACCTCCTGAGAAGATAAACAGACACACAACACCCAGGCTAAGGATCGGCAAACACACTGTTTATCAGACTAATTGAGGTTTAAGTTAACTACCTCCAGTCTTTATTTATTGTTCCAGTCTTCCTCACAAGACAGGCTACAACTTAACAAGGAAAAGACAAAGCCAGCGAACTTTAAACCACCAAGTGCAGAGACAAAACTACATCAAGTCAGCCAGAACCTAACTGGATATTTCTCTACTTAAAATATCACATAAAATGGATACTACCTTAATGTTTGTAGCTGTTGGTGAGACCTTGGTAGGGATCTTAGGAAATGCATTCATTGCATTGGTAAACTTCACAGGCTGGATCAAGAGTAAGAAGATTGCCTCTATTGATTCAATCCTCATGAGTCTGGCCATGTCCAGAATTTGTCTACAATGTATCATCCTATTAGATTGTTTCATATTGGTAAAGTATCCAGACACCTACAACATAGGTAAAGAAATGAGGATCATTGACTTCTTTTGGACGCTCAGCAACCATTTAAGTGTCTGGTTTGCCACCTGCCTCAGCATTTTCTATTTCTTCAAGATAGCAAACTTCTTCCACCCTCTTTTCCTCTGGATAAAGTGGAGAATTGACAAACTAATTCTCAGGACTCTACTGTTGAGCTTTGTCCTGTCCCTGTGTTTTAGCCTTCCAGCCACTGAGAATTTGAATGATGACTTCAGATCTTGTGTCAAGACAAAATGGATAACAAACTCTACTTTGAGATGCAAAGTAAATAAAGCTGGACATGCTTCCGTCAAGGTATATCTTAACCTGGTCATGCTGTTTCCCTTTTCTGTGTCGCTGCTCTCATTTCTCCTCTTGATCCTCTCCCTAAGGAGACACACCAGGCATATGCAGCTCAATGCAACAGGGAACAAAGATCCCAGCACAACAGCTCACATAAGAGCCATAAAAGCAGTAATCTCCTTCCTTGTCTTGTTTGTTGCCTACTGTCTGGCATTTCTCATAGCCACCTCCAGCTACTTTATGCCAGAGTCTGAATTAGCTGTAATTTGGGGTGAGATGATAGCTCTGATCTATCCCTCAAGCCATTCGTTTATTCTAATCCTGAGCAACAATAAACTAAAACAGGCCTCTGTGAGGGTGCTTTGTAAAGTAAAGGCTATGCTAACGGGAAGAAACTGTTAACAGCATGGACAGATCTGAATAAAAACTTCTACTTTCTGATATACAGGAAGACAAGATCCTTATCTTTCATTCTGACTTGAATATTGTTTTATGCAGTGACATTCTTTTAACAGATTTAAGATTGAACTTTGGGAAATTTCAAGTACAGCATTGCAGGTATCTATCTCTGTTTCTCTTTACAGAGTTGACGTTAAAAAAAAAAAAAACATATCCAAATAAATTACAACAAATAGCCACAAGAGGAAAGGATGTTTTCATAGTCAGCTCTAATTCACTTCTCCAAATGCAAAGCTGCCTGACATATTCAAAATGACTGTAACAGCATCTTGCCATTGTTTGCATACTTACGAAAAGAGTGAGTTCATTCTTATGTTCCTACTGAGCATTTTGCTGTCAGATTATCGAGCTATGTTCATTACTGGAGAAGAACCAAGTACCAAGTGATGACTTTTGTTTTGGAGACAGGGTCTCATCATCACCATGGGATTCTGACTAGCCTGGATCATACTATAAGGACTAAAATGGCTTGAATTCACAGTTGTGCCTCTGCCTCCGGGTGCTAGGATTAAAAGTTCGCACCACCACATCTGGCTCAGGTGACAATTCTTAGAAAATGCCTTGGAAATATATAATATATGGGAAATTAATGGAGTATATACACCATTAAGACATAAATTGTAATTAAATGTTATGTTAAATTCAAAAATTATTTAGGATTATAAATCAGTGGATGAAAACTATTCTAGAAGCAGGACATAGAAACTTTCTGAAAAGTAATTCCTATTGGCTGCATATTGAAGCAAATTTTTCCACAAAGAACACCTATAACTTTGCTTCTGGACACCTAGAATGTACCAGGCAGAGATTATAAAGATATCATAACAGGATATGGCTTTCAATGTTGAAAATAGAATAAGTTATACCAAACCTGGGTACATACCTAAAAACTATGTCAGCATACTACATAGATACTTGTATTGCCATGTTTACTGCAACATTGTTCACAATAGCTAACTGTATATTCAACAACAAATGAATTAATAAAGAAATTGTACATACACAAAATGGAGTTTTATTGAGGCGTGAAGAATGGAGCTATCTCATTAGCAAGAACATAAGTAGAGTTGGAAATCATTGTGATAACTGAAATAAGCCAGACCTTGAAAAAAAAAAAACAGCGTGTTTTCTCTGAAATGGAGAATATATACTTAAATGAATAGATGGGTGGATACTGATATAGTATAAAAATAGAAAATTGAGTTTTAAGGAGCAGGAATAAGTCTAAAGAAATAGGAGATAGATATAGGAGAGCATAATGGTGATTAAAAATAAAGGCAAATATTGCATGCCCCCTCATATATGAAACCTAGATTTAAAAGTGTGAGTGGGGGGGAAGTGTAGTGTGTGTGTGTGTGTGTGTGTGAGAGAGAGAGAGAGAGAGATAGAGAGAGAGAGAGAGAGAGAGAGAGAGAGAGAGAGATGAAAGCAGGAATTTGACTGCTTAAAGAATAAAAAGGACCAACAGGAAGAGGGGTCTGGCAAGAGAGGGCAATGGCAAATAGTAATAATATGAGCAAAATACCATGATTCACACAGGTAGCAATGTTATACAGAAACCCATCATTTTGTGTGCCTACTAAAAGGATAATAAAAAAAGATAAACATAACTAATGAAGGGAAAAGAAAGAAAGTAAAGGAAACAATTTTGAGAGAAAGGGAAAATGGTGAAAATGAAAGGAAACAAAAAGAAGCAGAAGAAATGTGGCCTGAGATGAGGGACTTGAGCTACAGAGACCTTCGTGTGGTGAGGCATGCCTGTGCCTCCAGCACCTGCTAGGCTGAGAGAGGAGACAGAAGGGGAGTTCACAGCCACTTTGGGCTATATAGCCAAACCTGATTTCAAAGGATGAGTGAGATCAAGGTGGAGGTGCAAAGGAGAGATTAGAGGGGGAAACAGAAGAGGAAAATGATGTAATTATAGCACAATTTTAAAGAACTAAAAAAAAAATTAAAGCAACAGGATAGGAAAATGACCTGACAAGTAAGGAGCTGGGTTAACAAGTCTGGCAGCCTGAGTTCCCTCTCACTAGGTTAAAGTTGCCCTCTCTCAAGAAGGTGGACTTACTTCCTGAGTGTGTTGATTGTTGCAAATCATGTGGTGATAAACAAAAAAGTGGAATGGCATATTTGGATACCTTCTTTTACTGCAGCAATGATGACAATTTCCAAGCTTTCTCTATAAGGGATCAGTGAATGGACCACAGAAAGCAGAGCTGAATTCCTTTCTGGTTCTGTCCCTTGCATGCTCAGTAGGTAGCCATTCATACCTTGAATGTCTAGGTATTTAACAGTGCTTTAGGTGCTAGAAATGCATATGAGGTATGATAAAGTCCATGGTCTCGTGTGAGATACAGTCACAGAACATACCATTGAAGACACATAATAAGCCAATAGACATAGTTACAAAACTATAATTATACAACTGAGAGTAACTAAAGGTGAGGAATCATTTTGTACTAAATTAGGATAGATCTACATCAAGAAAGTAAAATCAGAGCTGGTTATCAAAGTGATAAGGCTTAGCATTGACAGACTGGCATGCCTCTGACAGGACTAGGTGGGTATTTCTTAGAATTAATAGAGAATGAAAGACTCTTCCCTAGAGTGAGCAATTTTTTTCTGGTGGCAGCAAGAGACTGTGAGTTTGCTAGTGAGTTAACCCCACTGCTGCCATGTCTACTGTAATCCTTTGCTGACACTGGAATCTAGATTTCTTCTGTCCTTACTAAGTGAGATTGAAGAAGAGAACATTCTCATGCATCCTGCATCCCTTCAATGCCAGACGGAAACTCCTCATAGACTGAGAAGCTACTGTGCCCTCTGTCTCACAGTGTGCCAGCAGGCTTCATTGGTCCCGCAGTGTGCCTGTAGGTGTCATCATCAGACTACTCAGTCTGTCCGATATACCAAACCATATTTTTACCGTATGTGCTTTCTACCATCTGACTGGAAAACTCTAACTCACACAGACTGCAGTATCAGAAGTGGAGTTGCTGCTATGATAAACCAGGCCATGTGGTTCTTAAGTCTTTGGAATTGGTTTGCAAAAGGAGTGTGGAAAAAATTTGTAGATGGAAGAAATACAAAATATGTAGTAAAAGAAGGTAGTCATAAGTAGCAGATAAGGCCATGTAACTAGTTATAGAAATAAGGATTATAATTTTTATATTTCTGTCATATTTTGTTGTTGTGTAATATTCCTTTACACTATGTGATGCTATGTCACTGTGACTGGTTTAATAAAAACCTAAATGGTCAATAACTAGGAAAGATTTTCAGGGAAGAGAGAATGCTAATAAAAGGCAGTCACAAGTCAAACACAAGGCAAGGAGGATGGGCATTATGAAGATGAGATAATAAAGCCACAAGACAAAATATAGATTAAAAGGTATGGGTTAATTTAAATTATAAGATTTAGTTAGGTATAAGCCTAAGCTTTTGCCCAAGCTTTCATAATTAATAATTAGTAATAAGTCTCCATGTCATGACTTGGGAGCTGAATGATTGGACAGAAAAAAATCTGTTTACATTTTTTCATGAATACATTTGTAAATGTATGTATATACATACATTAAGAAGAATTTTCCTCTCATTTTTTACCATGCAATATAACAGTGATTGAGATAATATTAGTATTTAAGTGTTATAAAAATATATTGTCAAATTTACTTTTTGAGGGATTAAGCACTTTTCAAGGGACTTAGTCCTTTATTTTGGGGAAGAAAGATTATGTTGTTGGCTATAAATTGGACAGTTATGTCATGTTAGGCAGAACGATGACTTTGTTTTTTTCTTCACTTGGAAATTAAACATACCATTGAATTAGATATCAAGTTGATAAGGGATTGATTTTGTGATGATTAATTGTGGTTGCAACTATGTTTGGTTATGAAATTATGTAAAAGAGATTCCTGGAGTAGAGTGCAGATGTTAGAAGGTTAGAATCCTAGAATAATTAACTGAGAAGGTGTGGTGGTTTGAATAAGAAGGACACCAAAGACTCATGCATTTAAATTCTTAGGGAGTGGCATTAAAGAATTAGTGGGAATGCCCTTGTTGGAGGAACTGTACAACTAGAATGAGTTTTGAGGTTTAAAAGCCCAAGTCTAGGAGACAGAGAGAAGGATTAACAGTTAAGAGCAGTAGATACTCTTCCAGAGGTCCTGAGTTCAATTCCTAGCACCCACATGTTGGCTCATAGCCACCTATGATGGGATCAAATGCCCTCTTCTGGTATGCAGATAGAGCACTCATACACATAAAATACACAAATAAATTTTTTAAAAAAAAAAAGCCCAAGCCAGGCCCAGAGGCTCTCTTCTTCCTACTTTCTGCAGATCCAGATGTAGAACTCTCAGCTTCTTCTCCAGCATCATGTCTGCCTGCATACATGCTTCTTGTCATGCTGATAATGGGCTAAACTTCTGAACCTGTGAACAAGTCCCAGTTAAATGCTTTCCCTTATAAGAGTTGCCATGATCAAGGTATCTCTTCACAGGAAAGGAACATTGACTAAGGCAGAGGATTAGAACCTTCCCCAGAATAGACTGTACCTTCCACTGGCAGTGCAAATAGAAAGATGTCTGAGGAAAGAGCATTGCTACCAACCTTTGCTGTCTGCTCAAAAGTACAACTACTGTTGCTGCTATCATCCTTCGGTGACATAACAAGCCAACTTCTTGGGCTTTTCAAACTGGACTCAAAACAAGGAACTCTTCAAGAATCTTTCAGACTCACTATGTCATATTGTGCCTGTTAAAGAGTCTACAGTCACAGACTGGGCAGCTACCAAGTTCTCAGTCTTTCCAATGTTCAGACAGCAGTTGTTGGACTAACCAGACAATATCATGGAAGCCAAACTAATAAATTATCTTTGTGCTGTATGTTTTTAATTGCTCATTTTAATTCATTCATAATTGCTCATGTGGAACAGAAGACAG